TTACAAGGCACTGTGACTTTCAAAGACCAACAGACTCTCTCAAATCCTCTCCGGCCCTGTGAGAATAAAACATTTAACTTTAGTGCTAAAATACAGAAGATTATATAACTCTTGAGAAAATTATTTAGTGAGGATAAAATTTATATTTTTAACCAGTTTTTCTTTCCAACAGCACTTTTATAACTAAATATAACACTAGAGGGTGCTAGATTTCCTTCTTGTTTTGGCCTAAAAGAGAGCCACACAATAATCTGTGATTAGTCTTTTTAATTTCTTAAATATAATATTCAAATAAGATGCTGTTCATGTATTTGATTGATGTCACTTATAAACAGTTTATTACATGGTACTGAATTTTATCCATTCATATTCTGAAATAGTCCTAATAATAATAAGAAAAATATTTATACCCCAAATGCAAGGACCCATGTCTATTAGCCTGAACTCTCTGAAGAACATAAAAAGCAGGGGGGTGGGACCACCAACAAAGATTTGACCAGCAACAAAGTGATGCCCTCACAGACATAAACATACTGAAATAACCAAACTCTACAGGAACTTTAATCTGTGCTTTAATTGACCATTTCCATCACAAAATACTGCATATGGGTTTTCTCTAAAGCAAGGTATTTATCTTTAGAATGGTGGGAATCTATGTTGCTGTGGTTCTGGTTTTCTTCCAAATTTCCTCAGAACCTTTCTAGAGTAGATCTTTTTATTAGAATTGAAATAAAAGTTAATATGAACAAATGAATAAATAAATCTTCACAGAAGTGGTTCGCCAAACAGAAGGAAAAAATACTCGTATGTTGTCTCTAAATATCAATAGTACCGGTCACCAATTTCAATAATTACCACATCATTCCTTTGGATCCCTTGCATTCATTGGGCGGGCTCCTCTTCCTGCCATTCCGCCACCAGTCAAAATGCAGGATTTCATCTGTTCAGCAGTTGCACTAATCTCAACAACCGGATGGGGACTTTGATTGTAAACGTGTTAAAAATTGATACCGGTATGTTAGATTTTTGTTGTGTGGTGTTATAATAGTACATTGTAAATATATAACTGTAATAATGCCCTGGCCAACAGCTGCCCACTGATGGCCTTTCTTTCCAAATTAAAAAAAATGATACATATTAGGTTCTGAACCAACTCCACTTTCAGGGGATTCTGATCTCTCCTTCAGAACAATATAAAACTAGCTAAAAACAATGGCTGTGTCCGAATGACACTCCAACCCCTTTATGGAGCACTATATAAAGGTTACACCATTTTATCTGAGTGTGCATGTCTAATGGATTAAAAGTTGTGGACTCAAAAGTTCCTACAATGCACCTTAAAAAGTAGTTGAATCCATGGTCTCTATACGTGCAGATATATCCCAGAATGCTTTTCAAGAGATCTCCTCGCAAGGCATCATGGGCTTTGTTTTGGGGGCGAGAGAGAACAACGATGCAGTAGAGAGTTGGAACCCAACAGGGAGTGAATAGTAATGATCCTCTATCCAAACTGTCAGTTAAAGGTATAGTGGAGGATGTTCTTTTTTCAGGTGGATCGCCAAAATCAGTGGTTCCTTCTAATTGTCAATCATTCTGGTGATATGTTTACGTAAGGCCGTCCTACATGCTTGTCCCCATTTTCACTTACAATGTAAGTCTGACATTGTGGAAAAAATACAAATGTTCTTTTAGTAAGTAAGCTTGTATGAGTGAAGCAAATAGCAACTTGAGCATGCAGGAGGAGAAACTGGCTCGTGCATTCTCTCACACACGTTTAATAGGTGTTCCCTCTCTGGATGGGAGTTGTGGGGTTGTGCACGGTCTTTTTTTATATTCATGAAAACCCTCCATTACACCTTTAAATGAGTTCACTACATAATACCCGCTCCATACAGTGATTGAGGATTTAGGGGTTAGAGTGAATTTTTTTAGTTTTTTGTTTTCTCACACTGCATATGTGGAAATACTAATATATTTAATTGATCATTATTATGTAGCAGAGGTAAAAAGAGCTAAGCAGTTTCCTCTGAAGCATTTTTTGAGACCTTACTAATGCCAATTTCTGCCACACACAAGGAGAAGGTTTCTTTCCCTTAAAAGATACCTTCAACGCTGATAATATAACCAGCACTCATTGATGCGCCACCCAAAGATCTCAGGGGAGTGAAGGGTTCAGAGAACAGTCTTCCTTTGATCATGTCCCTGCAGTTGCAACTCTAACCCCGTCTTTCCTCTCAAGACCTTCAGCAGTATCTTCAACTGCCTACACTCCCATGGTGTTTCTTTCCAGGTTACCTTTCAGAATCTCCTACTACCGTCCCACAGATTATTATTATTATTTTTTTGTTTGTTTTAGTTGTAGGACTTTAAAGTTGAACTCTCCATCAACTAAACAGATTTTTGATAGAGCAGGTAGTCGCCTAAGGCTATTTTCCCTAAATATTTTATAAGGCTCTCATATGATCCTGTGTGAATTTAACTCAATAAAGACGTTAGAGTGCAGAAGAGTTTCATAATAAATCATAAATGGCAAATTCCTGCAAGTTATCTTAAGGGATAGAAGTAACAAAACCAATTTACAGTACAAATTATTCCAGGCCATTACAGAGGGTATTAAAACTAGCTGCTATCACAACTTATACATTCGTCATCATATTTTCATCAAATATAACAAGCTTTTTTTCTTATTTTGGAACTTTGGAAAGATCTATCAATTATGTTATCAATAATCTTAAGTATACTTAAGAGGCCTGTTAACTACAATTTTTTTTTTAGATAAATTGAAACTGTAATGCTGAACATTACATTTTATTCGTTTTTTTATTAAATAGAATTAATCATCACATAATTATCAATGTTTTTCACCTTAAGTTCTAGTTGAGTGCAGATTATGTAATTTGAGTTGCTTTGCCACTTATTTTTCACTTCATCTCAAATTACATTGATATGAAAATATTGTAGCTTACTAGTCCAGGCTGCTCATATGAAGGTTTAGGACAGGCTTCCTGTTTGACGAAGAATTATTTCAAACACTTTAAGTTGTAACTTCCTACTGGCTAATATTAGTCCCAAGCAGGAACTGAGGAAGACACGGTTCATGCAAAACATTAGACACTGATATGCTACATGATTGCAGACCCTTCCTACCCACCACCCTAATGCTTGGGACAGACAGTTCCCTGCATGTGTGTGCTAACGTGTGTGTGTGTGTTATTACCAGAGCCTGACATGGCTCATGTTTCTCACCGCAGTTTGTCAGAACCCCAGCTTGGAGCTACAGGCTCCAGCCAGGCTACTTCAAATGCAAGCATCTAAAGCTGACATGGGGACAGCTTTGAGGTTTCTACACAGGACAGATGCTGTAGTTTGGGATTGCAGCTGGAGATAAAGGAGCCTACTACCATGCTGCTGTGCTCCGTTCTTCTCCGTGGCACAGGACGCCAGAGGAATGCCTCCTTACTCAGATTCGTTGATGGAATACCGCTCTACAGAATGCAGCTTTTAAATTCCGTCTGAAGAAGTGGAGTACATAGGACATAGATTTTAAAAGTGCAAGTTGTTGCCAAAGGACATTTTGCTGGATTGCGTGGCTTTTGGGATGTTGTCAGATTTGGGAGCTCTTCTTTAAACTCCTTCAATACACTTAAACGATTGTTTGATCCCTTGGAAAGCCACTTTATCTTTAGCCGTGTCATTGGCCAAATATATCGTAGGGGGTTGTGAGTGTCGGCCTCCACCATGATGATCAAGGAGGTCAAGGAGGACTCGTTACGGCGGGATCCTGACCTCAGAGGGGAGCTGGCTTTTCTGGCCAGGGGGTGTGACTTTGTCTTGCCCTCACGGTTCAAGAAGAGACTCAAGTCTTTCCAGCAGCAACAGGTCAGTCGGTTCAGCATTCAGAGGTGAAAGAAGAATGCATTCAATCATGTATTCGTCATGTAAAGCACTTGCAATGATGTTGCATTGAAAACACAGATACAGTAGTCGCGTCCTGTTGCTCTTAGACACACAGAGTTTCATGCCACGTATGGCAAACTATTTTGAGACAGGTACTGGTGGTATATTTATAGTTCAGTGGATTGCAGGAATAGAGTGATAGAATGAACGCTTTGAAGGGAAACACAGCCACAGCTGTCCTGCTCAATACAGATAGCATGGAGGCCCACGAGAGGACTCCACTAAGGTCTGCCTGGAGATTCAATTTGCAACAGTCAGTAATGTTCTGTGCAATCTGGAACCTTTTATTCCACTCAGGACTGGTTCAACATCTTTTCTCACAATTTACTTTTTATTCATCACATCACACTTTATGTGATATTGAACTCACATAAGGGCTCCAATGTTGGTGCGGCTTTAGGCTAATTTTTACACTGATAATTAATTTTCATCCATTTAAATAATAGGGAAAAAATCTGATTAGATTTTTCAGTATTTATTGGGCCTGGCACTAATAAGAGTCGAAATTAATGGAAAGATATGGTGATGTCAGTCTGACTAACTGGTTTATACAGGTTGGATTTTTCAACTGAACGATCCCATTATTATAACAGCTAGCTTTCTTTTTTATTACTTTATTAGGGTTTTAGAGATTATGATAAGGAAGCTTCCACACTGCGATATGTTGTCTTCCATGGTCTTGCACCACTCTGAATTTTCCCTGCCAACACCTCGGTTAATAATGTTATGCAGTCTGTTGACTGACATAGTGACTAACTGATTGCAAAACAAGTTTGTTAAATATTCATCACTCACTGGGAATTTCCATGTGCGTAAAATATATTTATTATGTTCCCAGAAATGTGGTTATTGTGTGTTGTCTCACATCCATGTATGCTTTTAGTTAAGGGGCTAAATTTGTAGCTTTGTGTGGTGTTGTTTTTTTTTTCTTTCAAAGAGTATATCTTTTACTGTGAAAGTACAAATTATAAACACCATATGTACGGTAATATGATTTGATCAGTTTGGTAATATGCCTCCATACTGTACCTTGATCTCCTCAGCTCCAGCCCAGACCAGAAAAGAAGCCAGGAACACCTCCTCCTGCACCCCCCACCATCGCAGCCTCTCCACCCCCGGCACCGCGCTCGCCAAGCCCTCCTCCTGCCCCCGTTATCGTCGCACACCCCCCTCCTGCCGTTAACATTCCCAGGTTCTACTACCCCCGTGGGCTCCCTGCCCTTGGCCAGGCTGCCAACCACGATGCGACCATTGCTGCCATAGAGACGGCCTTCGCAGAGTTCGAGGAGGAGAAGGCTAACATTTATGAAATGGGGAGGATTGCAAAGGTCAGCATTTACTTTAAATTTGTTATTTTTTACTGACATTTATACTGTTTTGTAGAAATCAACTGATATTTGATCAAATAGAGTAGACCAACACACAGTGACAAACACAAATGTGAAAAGTGGGGGGGGTCCATTTGATTTTGCTCCCCTTAATCCGATGCCACCAAATAAAGTGCAGTTTAACAAATTGGCCTCACCTATATAAATAGATTCTACCTATGTGAAATTTAATAAAGGAAGCAGTATGATGGAGGTCAAAGAAAAAGATCAGTGACAAAGCTGTGGAGAAGCTAAAGCAGGTGGAATAGCCATCTTCCACCAGGACGAGATGGGAAAAAGCCAGAACCAAAATGGCATGGTTGATATCAAGCCATCTTAAAAGTATAGTGAAGGATTTTTCTCAAATTTTTGAAAAAAACCTTCCTTCTCCACTTTGCAAAAAAAATAAAATGCATTTGCACAACCCTGTACCTGCTCCAGAGTGGGAACTTGCGAGAGCATGCACAAGACCATTTCTCCTCGTGCACTCTCTGTTTAAAAGTTGCTTTTTGCATCGCTCATACAAGCTTAGTTTCCAAAAGATTTTTCCACAATGTCAGACTCAACACCGGTAAGTGAAAATGGGGCTGAGCACCTAAGACGGCCTTATGTAAACATATCATCAGAGTGATTGGCAATTAGGAGGACCACTTATTTTGACCAACCACCCAGAAAAGGAACATTCTCCACTGTACCTTTAATGTGTTAGAATGGACCAATAAAGGTCCAGACCTATATCAGATAAAAATAAAAATAAAAAAATAAAAATCTGACAAGTTGCTCATCCTTATATGAGTAAATTTTAGCTATTTTCAGGCTCTAGGTCAGCGGTCAACAATTTTACAATCCAGCAAATTTTGTTCCCTGTTCTGCGAAATACAATTTATTTAAACAGGGTTTGTTTTCATAGAACAACTCAACAACAATAACAAGTTTTCAAGTACCATCTCTAAAATGTTGTTTTGTTAATGATAAATTATAGAATCATAATGTTATCAACATAATTATGACCTAGAATAATACCAATTAGAATATTATAAGTAAATTTGAACAAATCTGCATCTTGTTTGTAACCTAATAACAAAACAAAGTGAATGAAAAATATTTACGCAATCTTATTGTTATTCTATTGTAGAAATTCTATGCAGAATTTCAGTCTAAAATAGAAAATTGCTTTCTTAAATACGCTCTTTCTTGATTCTTTTAGACATTATTGTAATAATAGATATATTTATGCTTGTTGGATGTAGAATGTTTAATGATAAGAAAATCACGCATGGCTTTTCTTCTACTTAGGAATTGTGCACATCTTTAGCAATATGTTTATTATTTGCATTAATTTTTAGCCATGTTGCATGTTTTCTCAGTTAAGCACTTGTGGGTTTGTCTGTGTCTCTGTTCAGGTGTGTGGGTGTCCACTTTACTGGAAAGCTCCCATGTTCTATGCTGCTGGTGGTGAGAGGAAAGGCTGTGTTTCAGTTCATTCATTTGTTGCAACATGGAGGAAGTAAGAATACAATTTTTTTTTTTATTGTTTTAAAATTATTTTAACTTAAGTCAGATTATGAAATCTAATCTCCATATTTCCCCTCCTCTCTTCTGCAGGTTGTTGCACAGTTTTCATGATGATTCATCCAGGTTTATTTACCTGTTAGCTAAACCCGGGCTTAACTCTTTGGAACAGGAAGACTTCATTCCTCTACTCCAGGTTGGTGTTGTCTCTACTCTTGGTTCAGACACAAATCTGTGCTGCTGTGTTTGTTTTAATGCACAGATTGTCTTTATTTTTTAACTGTTTCTCCTTGTCTCATAGGACATTGTGGACACACATCCAGGGCTCACGTTTTTGAAGGATGCACCTGAATTCCATTCACGCTACATTACAACGGTACATGGCGAAATTAATGGAAAAAGTTATTATTTAGATGGTATATTGTCTTAATTGGGTGATTTATTGTAAACCATTTTGTTTATGTTGTAGTTCTATTTTGAATTTATATTGATATTTACAACCAGGTACATTAATATTACACAATAAGATGAGAAAGAATTTCCATTAACTTTAATCAAAAGTTCCTACTCAGTCTGAAAACGTTTTTAAGCACTAGAATTTAATGGTTTTGGGTCTTAATAGTTAGAAAAAAGAAAATGAGCGCATTGAAAAAAAATGCTGTGACTTTCCTAGTGAGCGTATCCATATCTATGTTGTTACTTCCTACACGGTGCTAGTATTTCGTCTGTGTTCTTCTTTTTTACCTCTTTTGTTCCTTATGCCCTTACGTCTATCCTTGTACTTGTCCTCCCTTTCTTAATGTCGGTCGCATGGTCAAAATTAGGGCTGAAACAATTAGTTGGATTAATCGTGATTAATCTATCGTTTAAATATTCGGCAACTAATTCACTTATTGATTAATCATTAAATTGAGTGTAGAGACTCTAAAATGTGTCTTTAGCTGAAAGAGCAACCCACTTAGAGCAGTAATTGTGCCAAGAATGTAAAAAATATATAAAAAAATTTGCATTTAAGATAAAAAAAAATAATTTTTTTGTATGCACTATCCAGAACTCCACAAGTTGAAAAGTTTAAGTTTCACATGGTTAAATTTTGCAAAACTGTCTTCTTTAAAGAACCTTTGCCTATCCGATTATTAATCAATTAATCAGAAAATAATTGACAGGTTAATCAATTTACAAAATAATCATTAGTTGCAGCCCTACTTGAACTATCTTCCAAAGATTTGTGGTGCATTTAGGTATTTTCTGCTTTGAAATCAGCATAAAGGACAGCTATATCCTGTCTGAGTTGTCATGTAAACACTTGTTCAAACCCATTAAGATGTTTGTTTCTCCTGAACAAATAACATCACAGGGTAGAAATTAGCATAAGTATGAGGACAGGAAACAGCGGATCAGTATTTGTCCCACTGATCTTTGTTTGTTTTGCCGGTGGGTTTTTGGTTCTCAGATTAAATTTTACTAATCCTAATTGACATATTTAATAATTATTTGTACTTTCTTCAATAAACAACATAATACATATTCTTTAAACAGGGTTGATTTTTTTTTTCTTCAAAATGTTTTATAAGTTTTTTCTACTCAAAAGAAAAACCATTTAATTTTAAGTCTTTACCAAGTGCACCAACAGTGTGGTTACACAGGCACAGCTTTAAGTATTCCTTTAGAGAATCCACTCATGTATTCTAATTCTTAGAACACAACATTGGTCCTGATAATTCTATCACTGGCTGATTTAAAGATATTGCTCTTAATTATGACATTAGGATATCAATGTGTCTTTATTTAATCCATTGAATAACGTTCTTAATACCATAGAGCCTTTATTTTATTGGCAGCAAAGCCGTTTCCGTTAATACCAAGTGTGTAACATTAGATGCAGTGGATTCATCAATGTGGATTGGAGCAGCTGCGACCCGTGCCACTGAAGTCGAGGTTTCGCTGCACCGAAGTGCAGAGATTCTCGAGTGCGTCAGTGCATCGTGACATCACGGAAACAAAGCTACCTACATTTCCATTTGCAGCCGAGGTCCCGGTCTGCCAAAAGTCCATTTTAAGACCCTTTCAGCAGATTGTAGGTCAGCTAACACACCCCTGTCTGAGACATTAGCAGCTATTGGAGGTCGATTTACCAGTAAATGCATGCTAACCTTTAATTTGTTTAACTAAGTGTGGCCCTGATACGCCTGGTTTTCATTGTGAACTAATCTTCACTCCTTGGAGTGAAAATTGTAATGATCTTGGTTCTGTTGTTTTTCTTTAAGCTTTCTGTTTCAAGTTTAGCCAGGTTTTTCATCGGTCTATTGCAGAGTTGGGCGAAGGCGGCTTGGCGGTTCCACTCCAACTCCTCGAATAGCTCAGATAAAACTGGGGGTGATAGAAGTGAGGAGTTAGAGAGGAATACTGGCTTCAACTGGTCAGCCGCACTCACCCTCTTCCAAGGCGGACTGAGAGCGGCAATGGAGTCCAGAGCATTCCTGAGAATAATGGAAATTCTCCTGGGGGCGTCCGGGCCGTGTTCTGCTGGGTCCATTCTTGGCTGGTTCCTTCAGTCACGATTTGGTTAAAAGGTTTAGATTGGACCCAAACGCAGAAGCTGGGAGGCAGAGGTGAATTCTTGGAGGGTTTATTGCAAGATAAGGCAACAAAAACAGGTATCCAAAAATCCAACTTAAAAAATGGTAAACAAAAACAGGAATCCAAAAATCCAACTTAAAAAATGTTTAACAAAAACAGGAATCCAAAAATCCAACATAAAAATCAAACACTAACCAGAACCATGGAGACATCAGGGAAAAACCAACAAGGAGCCAGGGTGAGGAAAGGTAAAGACGAGGAACCAGCCAAGAGGGACTGCAGAGGGAGTGTATTTATGGCTGACTGAACAAAGGTAGAGGTAATGAGCTGATAGGGAACAGGTGTGATTAGAGCTGACGAGGAAGCCAAGGGAAAAGAACACAAGGAGGCAGCAGGGGACAGACAGAAAAACCTAAGCAACTTAAATGAATCCAGACACACCAAAAAAGCTAGAAATCAATGAAAAACCTGGCTAAACTTGAAACAGAAAGCTTAAAGAAAAACAACAGAACCAAGATCATTACAGAAAACCATATTTTCAGTAACCTGACAATTTGCTGTCCTGGTCACGATTTATGTGGATCTGTCAATTTATTACTGTCATAATCATTTTCTCTGTGAAGGTTATTGCTACACATCAGAGTACAAAGCAGCCCTTAAAGTTAAGGACTGTTTTAAAGGGTTATAGGTTTTTTTTTGTCTTAAATGAGATTCTTTTAAAAGAGGATCTGTACTTAATATCCTTGCACCACAGGCCATTCCAGTTTCCAATTTTATATAAAAATAAAGTGATATGCAAAGCTAATATATGATCATGATTTAAGCCGACATTTCTTTTCTTTTAGTACAAAATGGCATGGGCATAAATTGCAACGCCAATTTTGAGACTGGAGTTGTGATGTGTTGAACTGTAAAGTGCCTTGAGATGATTTGTGTTGTGAATTGGCTCTATATAAATAAACTGAATTGAATTGATGATATTGAATTTTGAAATGACTGAAATGCATTGGGGGTCTCGATGGCCCTTTGACTAAGAACCTTTAAACAGAATCTATAGAAAGAAAATGATTAAATACCTTTAAGGTTGCTTTCATACAACAGATGGTAACTTATCATGCCAGTATACACCTTATCAGTTACTTTAATAGGTATGCCTTGTTAGTGCTGGATTAGACCACCTGTTGCCATCAGAACTAGCCTAATTCTCGAGGGCTCAGATTTGTTCTGGAATATTTGGCTGTAATAATGTCTTATTTTAGCTTCTGACACCCTGTGTCATTTTCAGATCTGCCACTCATATTTACTCTTTCTGGACCATCCTGCATTTATGTGAGAGCTGATTGTGTGTGAAAATCCCTATAGATTTGAAGTTTCTGGATAATTTTCTTTACCTCTGAAATAAAAGCATGGTGCATTCAAAGTCAATCACTCTTGTTCCCTGTTCTGATGATCCATTTGAACTTAAACAAGTCATCTTGAATGTACAAATACATATGGGTAAATGTTTTCACAGACTGCGATGTGATTGGTGGTACACTATTTATGTTAAGCAATAAACATTAAAAAAAAAATCCTAAGGCATCTAAAGATAAATGAGCTGCATTAAGTTTGGTAATAGAGAAATGGAAATCTTTTTTTTTTAACAAAATCTTTAAAAAATATTTCTATTTTTTCTTGTCATAGCTCCCAGTGAATGTATGTATCTTTCTTTTTTAAACAGGTGATCCAGCGGATATTTTATGTGGTGAACCGCTCCTGGACGGGCCGCATCACTATGACTGAGCTGCGCAGGAGTAACTTTCTGCAGACCCTAGCCCTCCTGGAAGAAGAGGACGACATCAACCAGATCACAGACTACTTCTCCTACGAACACTTCTATGTCATCTACTGCAAGTTCTGGGAGCTGGACACTGACCATGACCTCTACATTGATCCCAAGGACCTGGCAAGATACAACGACCACAGTAAGAGCAACTTTAACTAAGATACAGCATTTCCGTATGATGGTCCAATTCAGTTTGTTCACCCCCCCCCCCATCATTCAGCATCTTCAAACAGAATCATCGACAGGTTGTTTTCCGGTGCTGTTACCAGGTAAGTGAAATCACAGAGAGAAGTTGATTACTGCAACATAAAAGAGGTGCTGGGTGCAAACGGCTGAGTCGGTTTTGTCTCCAGGGGCAACGCTGTGCAGATAGAAGGCAGGATGAGCTATGCGGAGTTTGTCTGGTTCCTCTTGTCTGAGGAAGACAAGAAAAATCCAACCAGGTATTGCTGGACATATATCTGTCTCACCATCGTTTTATTGTTTTCAGCCAATTTTTAAACGTCAGTATCAGCAACCTGCTTAACATTTTATCTCCCATTGGTCTCTGTAGTATAGAGTACTGGTTTCGCTGCATGGATGTTGATGGTGATGGTGTCCTGTCTATGTTCGAGTTGGAATACTTTTATGAAGAGCAGTGTGAGAGGATGGAGAGAATGGGCATCGAACCCCTGCCATTCCAGGATTTGCTCTGCCAGATGCTTGACTTGGTCAAGCCTGAGAATCCAGGTTAAATATGTTTTCATCATTTTAAATTCCCATGCTAACTCAGTGCTTTTGCACACCTGCAAGAATTAACACATAAAAACCTTTCTTTTAGGTAAGATAACCCTAAGTGATCTGAAGCGCTGCAGGATGGCTCACATATTCTTCGACACCTTCTTTAATCTGGAAAAGTACCTGGACCACGAGCAAAGAGATCCATTTGCAGTGCAAAAGGTGCCAATCTACATTTCTTGTTTGCAATGAAAACAAATTAGTTCTAGGTGCAAGGGGAAAAGGTTTTAAGATCTGTATGATGAATACAATATTAAGAAAATCTTGAAAAATAAAATCCCTTAGATCTACATTTAATGGGATGTTTTTTACATTCCCCTCTGTAAAGAATAGCTAGCATTTTTTTTCATTGATCATACAAACCCTTTGATTTTTAGTGTTTTAAATCTTCGACCTATGTAATCTACTCATTGATTTTGCATGAACCTATTAAGTTATTTTGTTGTATTTATTTTGTAGCTGTACAAAAAAATAAATAAATACAAATCTGTGTGTTCCAGGACTTTGACAGTGAAGGTCCAGAGCCGTCTGACTGGGATAAATATGCTGCAGAAGAGTATGAGATATTGGTTGCAGAGGAGACTGCAAACGAACAGCTCCATGATGGGTACACACTGGAACATTTTCACCCTACCTTTTAAAACTATATATGCCCTTTAAACCCTGTCACATTTAGTCACATTACACTCAACAAATGTGTGCATTTAACACAAAGTGGTGCATACAGTGGCAGCCATTCCAAATGAACCTTCCCAGTCAAACTTCCAGCCACTAGAGTGATCCCCTCTTTGTCCTGGGCATGCCTATTTTTTTTACACTGACTCCACCCTGTCACTAAATTAAAAGGAGATAATGCTTCTCTTTAGATCTTAATGTCCACAAATCATGACAGAAAGAATATTTTAGGATAAAGATTGATGTTTAAAAAGGAATTGTAGAGGACCAGCCAAGGACCCATGAAGGAAATTGGGGAAATGTTGAATGGCTACTACTGCAACCATTAAAGGGAGAAATCAATACATGGCTTAGTTGTAAGAAACCCACAAGAAGTACAGATGGGCACATAGAAATCTGTGAGAGAAGGTGTTATGGTCAGATGAAAAGCAAAAACAACCCTGAACCATCTATACAGTAAAACATGGGGAATACTTTTATTATTTTTATTGTATGACTGTTGTTTTTTTTTTCACAGGACATTTGATGAGGACTATGAATCTGAAGAGCTTCAAATACCAGGAGAGATTGGAAATAAAATGGAGAAACTGGTCATATCCGACTTGTCGGAATAAATCTCCTAACATTGAATTGCTAGATGTTCAGTGTGAGGATGACACATAGGATCCACACGACAAAGGACTTCCTGGCATGCATATTGAAGAAGGTGTGGCTGCAGAGACCCCCCCTAAGGATGGGGTTTATAAGTGTGTTGTGTTTTCACATTTCTGTTTTATTGTGTAAGAGATGCAGTTATGCATTTACACACAAAGACTTTACAATATTGCTGCTCTTTGAGCATTTGAGAAGAAGAAAGATAGAGATAGTGGAGAAAAAGCTGTTGAGAATATGGGGAAAAAACTTCTTAACTTTAAAATTTTTATCTTTCTCTTGTGAATTCTCAACTGACAATCATGCCAAAAGACAATCTTTTCTTCTTTTTTAATTAAGTTTTTAACATTGCTGTGCCAAAGGTAGACTGACACAGAGTTCTTTGAATTTATAAATACCACTGCCACTGGGGATTGGCAGTCCTCCCTGTGCTTTCCTGTGACGTACCCGCAGACCCAGCCCTCAGGAACATGCTGCGCATACACTTATACGCTTGTCACTGCATTTCGGGTAAAGGAAGTTGTTAACACCAAGGTCTCCTCAGGGAGAGGTCATGTAACAGTTCGTGGCATTTACATCAGCACCTCCTCTCTGTGGCCAGAATGGGATACTGCATGCTTGTCTCTGTGACTGCATGTTGCAGGATCGCTTGCTTATGCTTCCTTTGTGGAAGTCCAGTCTTCTCACTGCCTGAGCTGCACATCGGTGCCATCCTTCCCCCCAGAGTCCCTCCTCCATTTAAAGTCATAGACTGTAGCGTTTAAGCCCTGCATCTTATTTGACGCTGAGGAAAGACGCACATTAAAGGAAGCATGCTACCAGTCATATCAAACTCTCTGGTAGGGTTGTCTGAACATTTCCACATGTAACCTCTGTGATATTGCAAACAGGTGTGTTTTAGTTTAGGATCTGCGTCCCTCCTGCTGCTCCTGTTTGGCATTTTTTTCTTTAATTTAACACTTTTTTTTATCTCTTAATGAGATAGATCTACCAGCAAAACCAACTGTCTCCTGTCGTCATAGAGAGGTACAGTTCTTTATTATTAGTCTATGTGAAAATGGGGTGAAGTGTAAAAAGATTTTTTTATTTCATCCACCACGTTGAGCCATGTTCAACATGTTTGTAAAACATATTTTGTCCAGATGTTATCATTCACATGTAGAGGTAAATGTAACTGAACTTCATGATGTCTCACACAAACATTCACACATATTAGAACCTACTGAAAGAGGCCTCATGCTTATTTTGCATCTGAAATTATTAAGTTATTTCATGCTAAACATGCTGTCCTTTTTATTTAATTTTGGCCTCGACCTTTCTGCAGTGAAAGTCTACACTATTTCGTTAGTTACACATGATGTATGCAGTCGATCACATTTTTTTCTGACACCTTGTCCAAGCCATCCAAAAAAAAAAAAAGCCACAGATATCTACTGAACTGTCGCCCACCAAACCTGTAGGGGGAGCTTTACATATAGCCCCTGGTTATGGAGTAAGGACAAGAATGCTAGCTAGAAAGAGCTTATAGATGGGGCTTCATAGGCTTTTAATTTCAGCTCTGCAGGAGTTTAGCCTAGTCTCCTTATTGGTTCAGCTTTTAATACAGCAAATAATTGTCCAAATGTGTGAATTGGGGAAATTTTTTATCCTTCGTGCCAGCTGCTAGCATGTTCTTGTGCTAAATAATAATTTGCCCCTTATTCTTTCATTTCCAACTTTGACTTCCCCCTCTGGAAGATAGGAAAAATCCAGAGAAAAGCTGCACCTTCTTATAAGCCGCATGGTTAAAAGCATGGGAAAAAGTAGTGGCCTGAAGATATGGTAGTTGAAACCTGAAGCTAACAGTCTCTGACAGAAAACGGGACAAACCTGGATTTAGAAATTCATAAGAAAAAATTAATCCTAAAAAACTACTTTACTATTTTTTTTTTATTTTTTTTTTTACTTTTTTCTATATTATTCTCATGGAAAATGGAGGTTAGAGGGAGTACAACACCAATCATGTTCCTGAGTGAAACAAATAATAACAATAACACAACCAGTCAAAGTAGTTGACAGATATAGGAATAAAGCAGTAAAAAAATGTATAATGCAATAAATTATGGCAACTAATTCAGTTCAGTTCACTCATTCATATACTGTAGGGCCAAATCACAACAAATGTCTTCTGAAAACACTTTATAAGAAGGAGAAAACACACAAAAAAATGTATAATTTTAATTCAGTCACACAGACAAATTGATGTTTCTTTAGCTTAATCCTATTAATAAAGCCACGCAGTTAATTTCATTTTCTCATGGTAAAGGTCTTCCATGCGGGAGCCAGTTAGATTTAAGTTGTGATCTAACATCAGTTATTGATTGTAATCTGAAGCAAGCATGTGGTGAGAGTGGGAATAAGCAACTCCCTTAATCTCAGAATCTCCTGTGGAACACAGGACAATGTGAGCATCCAATATCCACAACCAACTGGGATGTGAGGAGACAGAGCAGGCACCTATAGAACAAAGAAGCACCGTCCCACATTGCCTTATTAATAAAACAGAGTGCATGTGCATAGTTAATGGAAACAGTGGTTCTTTTTGTGGCTTCAACTAGAAAAGCAACACGTCCAAACAGATGAACCATGAACCACAAATACTTTCCTAACAGGCAGTGACTTAGATCAAAAACACACTTTCTATTCTCCACACGTTGTACACTATATTTTTTGCCATACCACCTCCTGTTTTCATTTGAGAACTAAACAAATGTCGACTTCTTAGAAATATCCCTTCCAAAGTACCATGACATCAGAATTAAGCTGCATGAAGTAGTTTCTTATGATGTGTCTGAAATTGGATTTGTTCTGAAGTAGGATCATGTCTTTTCTGTCAGATCTCTCAGGACTATCCTGTCTAGCTTTTTTATGAACTGACAGCTTTTGTAAGAAATAAAACAGAAAAAAGACAAAGAGGTGTCAAAGACTTGTTAGATGACTAAATCAATAACATTATTGTTTTGGTCTAGTAGTAGTAGTGGGGCAAGCTAAGCCTTCTCCATTCAAGACATAACAAATTAGCCCAATCTAACAATCATATAGATTCATCTTTTGACTCCCCTACTTATAACACTTCTCAGTAGGTTTAATGTCAGTTAATGTTGCAGATTACACTTTTAAGAGTGAAATAGTGTACTTCTTTTGATCTTAATTAGTTGCAATAATTAGTACAAAAACAACTTTGAAAATTTTAAGAAGACATCTGTCCACTTTGCTCTTGGCGCCTCTTGAACCAGGTGTTACCTTTTGCATGTCAGGATAACTAATTTTTCAACAGCATAACAGTAATATTAATGTTTTAAGATTTTTAATTATTCTTTGAAATTACATTATTTACGATGCTAGGCTCACAGGGACAGGCTACCCATGCTATCAGTGTGTGTTACCTTAAAATCACATGCAGACGAAGGTGTTTGTTCAGTATTGATATTAAAGAACGGATCTGGTGTTATTTAGACTATCTGCTTATCGTACATACCTCCTCGTGTACACAGTTTGTATTCAAAGGGATAAAGACCTGCAAAGATTTATAGTATATTGCTTAATTTCTCCAATTATGCTTTAACCATTTGTAAATCTGACTTCTGTATTAAATTGTACTTTAACAATTGTTATGATATAAGCCATTTAAGCTATAATAAGCCTGATTGTTTTATGATGTGTCATGATTTCTATTGTGCCACTGTGTGGCTTGGGTTGGGGGGGTAAATTATGCTAGATGTGTGTTTGTTAGTGTGTTAGATTTGTGGATTTTTATCACTAGAAGTAGATAAAATCCTCGTTTTTCCCACTCTGACATCCACATAAACACGAACCTTTAAAGCTTTCTAACACAGAGACACATGCTCACTCTCTGAATGTAAAAAAAAAAAAGTTATTCTTAACTTTTCTGTTCTATGCAATGTGTTCTGGTGCTCAAATGTGATGCATCATTAAATGAAAGAAGCCATGCAGGATTTTAGCATATAACTCTGCAAAGAGAGATGCAGGAAGGACTTTTATAGTGATATTTTTCCTCTCATACGGAGCAAACATGGAGGATGTTCATCGTTGCAAGCTGTGTTGGCATGTTTTTTGTTCCCTCTTGCTTTCTTATTTGCTGACTTTCTTTCCCTTTTCTTATGCCTCCTCTATTTGAAGTTCAAGGTTAATACATTTTCAATAAAGCTCTGCCATTATTCTTCCTTGTAAAATGTTTGTTTTGTTCCCACTCATCCCCATTTCTAACTAGAATAAATAAAAGTTAGACTTGTAGTAAATCCAAAGACGATTCAAATTAAGGAAAGACTTCAGGTCAAACAAAACACTGGTGACTTTTTAATTGCTTATATAACGGTGAAATTGAAGTATTATAACTAGTACTTTTGTACCATTGCCCTCGTATATACAGTACCACTGTTTTTCCCAGGTGCTGACATCTTGCCTTCCTTAGCAACTTAATTAATGTGCTGTCACTTATATCACGAGATTATTCATAACTGTGACATATACACTGCACCAGACCCCCAAAATACTAAAATGGAAGGAAATCAAGGCAATAGTTATAAACATGGCAGAATTACAAGCATACAGAAAAATAATCTGCATATATGCAAAGGAAAACATTTTAAAAACTCCCAAACCACTGAAAAATGCAAGTGTTCGAAAACAAGCAGCTGCATTAAGTCTGTATAGGATGATTGACTGCAGCTTGCAGTATGATTGGAAAGGTGTCTTTACACTCTCCTTAGTACAGTTCGTGCACCACTATTCTGGGCTTTCTACTCAGTTAATAATGACCACGCTTGACGATTGCTTATAGGTAGTGGGGTGTCAGGGGGTTATTATGTAGCATACAGCACATTCCACATGAAAAATGTTTTATACTTATGTTTGACTTTATATTGAAGCGGTCTCACAAGATGAAGTAGTCTAGAATAGGGTTGTCACGATACTAAACTTTTCAACTCGATACCGATACTAAGGAAAATATTCGATACTCGATACCATTTTCGATACCACAAGGATAAAAATAAAGACTCCAAAATTCAACAGAAATATTTTCATTAATAAATAAAATACAATAAATAAACACAATAAAGGTTGTATGCTGTGCATAATATTATGCAAGCTTGATAAAAAACTTATAAAATTCAAATTAGGTGTTTCTTCCTTGGCTATGCTTTGCACACATAACAATGACACTAGCCAAACCAGTTAAGAAATAAAAATTATTCTCAGCAGCTGCACCTCTTACAAAAAAAAAGTCTGAAACCGAAAAGAGCACAGAATTATTCAATCACACAGTGTTCTGAAAGTGCATTGTCCTCTATTCTGCACTTTAGATGAATGACTGCTTAGGTGCCACTGGTGACGGCACTGTATCGATACTTTTAAAAACGAGTATTGTATCCGGATACAACATTTCAGCATCGATACTTTTTTGAGTTTCGATACTTTTGACAACCCTAGTCTAGAAAAGTCTCAGAAAGAATACTGCCCCACCTGGACCAAGATACAGAACTAAGTGAAATCTTCATGTCTGGAAAGGATTAAAACATGGAACAGTGGAGAACCTTCCTAGGACTGTCTGGCCCACCAAAATTACTCAATCAGTCCAGAACCCCATCCAATGATCTACAGGCCTCAGTTAAAGTCAGTGGTCATGATTCAGAAATGAGAAAAAAGGTCCTTGTCAAACTCTGGACCTAAATTTAGCTAAAATGCTGTGAAAAGACTTCACACTAGAAAAATATTCAACATGGATGCATTAAAACAATTTTGACAAAAAATTCATCCAGTCATGTAAAATTGCCACTCATTATGGCGCTGTCTGCCTGACGTCTCAAAATCGGGCCTACCCCGAACTTTCTATGAATCTTTTTCATTTTGGGTATATACATCGAGTATTCATAATGAGTCCAGAACTTATGTCCAACGACAGCATATCTTATGCATAAAGCAGGCAGCATAATGCGCATGATATGTCACAAGCCAGTGTCCTGAGGGGGGCAGCAATGTCCCCGGAGGCGACAACCTGCATAAAAAGTACGGGAAGTTTTCTCTAAACTCCTTATTCACGGTTTTAACCTAGCTGCTGTTTACCGCCCTCCAAAAAAATGAACAAAGAAGCAAAGAAATAAGGTCTGCACTCAGAGCAGATTCAGTGTCATGTCTGCTAGTTGGTCGTGACCGTTGGCATGAACGCAGGGACGATCCATCACACTCACCTTCACACTCGCCATACAACTGGAACTGAGTCAAGCTGATGAGATCATGCTGATGTTGGAGAATAGCTAGTATGTATTCGCATCTCAGCTTTGCCGGATCCTCCATCTCTTGTAAAATGTCTGAAGTCAGGTTTCCTCCTGTGAACCCCCTTTTATACCAAAATGCTGGCAATATGCCATTTATGCATTAGCTGTCAGTTAGAAACACGTTCAGCGGTCGTCTGGAACACGTCAAATATGTCGACATGCATTGGAGATAGGTTCTTGATAAGTTAAGCAAAAGTTATTCATACTGTAGGTTTTGGATAAGTTTATGTATAACTTACACTTAAAGGTATAGTGAAGGATTTTCACAAATTTTTGAAAAGACTCGCCCCCTCTCCAATAAAAAATAAATAAAAAGAAGCAGAGAGCCAATCAATTTATGTGAGAGCATGTACAAGCCCATTTCTCCTTGTACATGCTCTGTTCAAAAGTTACTGTTTGCATCGCTTGTACAAGCTTACTTTCTAAAAGAAGATTTACAATTTTTTGACTATGTCAGACTCGCAACCGGTAAGTGAAAATGGGGACAATCAAATGGGACGACCTTACGTAAACATATCACCAGCATGGTTGACAATTAGGAGGACCACTTGTTTTGATGAAAATCAAAATATATAGTGGAAGAAAAGAACATCCTCCACTACACCTTTAAAGGAATAGTACACCCAAAACATGATTAGCCTTCATTTTCTACTCACCCCCATGCTGAACAACACTCTGGAGTACTTTTTTGATATCTCAAATGCATCTGGAGATCTGGGAGGCTTCTTGCTGTCTGCTGACATTCAAATAATGGAGGTCTATGGCGCCCGAGACAGAAAGGTCCATAAAAGTCCACAAAAAACGTGTCAATATTCCTCCATACTGCTCGTCCAATGTATTCCAAGTGTCCTGAGTGGGTAGCATCCAGAATTTACTCGAAACGAAGTCATTTAGAACGTTTTTAGAGCATAAACAGTAGTGTATAGGATTTCCTGAAAGCGCGCACATGCGCGTTCACGATGCTACGGAAGCCGGCAGACCAAACCAGCGCATTCAGCTCGGCAAAGAACTCATGCTCTTCCTCAACACTGAAGTCCTCAGACATTTTTCTTTCGTTGTTTCTTTCTTTGCACAGGTAAACAGCACATTTCTTCTTCTACGCTTGCATTATTGGCAGAGCAGACGCTGAATGCGCACTTTCATCTGGTTTGGTCTGCCGGCTTCCGTAAGCTCATGAACGCGCATGTGCGCGCTTTCAGGAAATCCTATACACTACTGTTTATGCTCTAAAAACATTCTAAATGACTTCGTTTCGAGTAAATTCTGGATGCTACCCACTCAGGACACTTGGAATACATTGGACGAGCAGTATGGAGGAATATTGACACGTTTTTTGTGGACTTTTATGGACCTTTCTGCCTCGGGCGCTGGGCACCTCCATTATTTGAATGTCAGCAGACAGCAAGAAGCCTCCCAGATCTCCAGATGCATTTGAGATATCAAAAAAGTACTCCAGAGTGTTGTTCAGCATGGGGGTGAGTAGAAAATGAAGGCTAATCATGTTTTGGGTGTACTATTCCTTTAATGTGTGTCAACAATCACATAACTTACCTGTAACTTATGCCCCACATATGAGCATATGCTTGCATACAGTATGCTCATCCTGCATGCTCAGAATTTCTTCACCCACTTACCGTATGTCGACATATGCCAGTGTACTTCGGCATGCTCATAACTTACACAAAACATACCCATAACTAATCCAATGTACGCCAGAGTTTTTGCCAGATTTTTTGGATGTTGGCATACGCTGGCTAACTCGTCAAGGTATGGCTGCGCCATTACAAAGGCTTAATGGCAACTGGGCAACAAAACCTGTTATGGGTTTCAGGACAGTTTAGTTACATTGTCAGTTTAGTTTGGGTAGTTTCATAAATGGAACTATTGATTGTTAAAGTACTTATTTTTTTTATATTTATATTTTCTTGTATTGTGTGATTTCTCACCTATCTCTAAATATCTTGACCTGTGTGTAAAAAGCTTTCATACCAACTAAAAACACAACACAGCCTTGCTGAAGAAGCAGCTCCTTGTTATCTTTAATTTAGCATTAAAGATTTAATCCCAGAAGAGACTGTTGTGCCCACCAAGTGATTAAAAACAGGAGTTTTAAAAGCCCTGTTTAAAGCAAAGATGATCATAAAACCTAAACCAACCTAATAAAATTGAAGTATGAAGGCGTTTTGAAAAATTTAGAGCAAAAAACAAATCAACAAACAGACACTAAATGTAATGAAAACTAGATAAGCACTTTGAGACCTCTGCCATGCTGTAAATTTTGCCCCATATTGTGACTAAAACTCACACATGATCTGGATCATTACCTAACTTTACTTAAATTTTCCTTGGTATGAGTTACATCTCTGGTAACAATTTCCTTAAAATCCTTTCAGAAGTTTCCAAATAAGACACATTGTTTGTCTGCAGCCTCTGGTGTTTCTTCTGCTCTTACCTTTTTCATTCACTCATCTTTTTTCTTTGATCAGCAGATCGAAACATGGCTCACCTTTCCTGTGTTTTTGTCTCTATAATACTTCTGGATTTTGTTTTGAGTTAGATGCTGAAAGTGTCAATACTCATTGATGCCACCCTCTGGCTTAACGGGGAACTACTTGTTCTGCCAAATAATATTAAAGAATCCTAAGAAATCCTGCATCTGCAATATGACCTGGATCATCACCAAAATTTAAGGGATTGTTTCTAGGACTGAGGTGCACCTTTGCTAAAAATCAAAGTACGGACGGATGGATGGACAGACAAACAGACTCGACTGAAAACAACCCCCTTGGTGGAGGTAATAACATTGTATTCAAATAATGATGACAGTTCAAGATGGACAGAAAGTATAAAAGATTATTAAAACTGTTTACTCTTTAATCATGAA